CTTCGAGTTGTGTCGATAAACAACGAGCAAAGAGCAAAGTAAATAAATAACAACTCTTCGGCCCGGCCATTGAGAATATATATCCGTATCTGTATCTGTTGTGTATTTCCCTCAGTATCTGTAAGCGCTTCTATATCTGTTCTGTATCTGCGTCTCTCCGTTTGTTATACGTATTCCCCGACGTGCGATTTAATGCACATTTCAAATTACCGGCCAGTTGTTGACCTGATTACAAATCAGCTCCCTCCGGCGCTGCTCAGCCCACATTGGACCACAATCCTCATCCCTTTTGCCCAGTTTTCGTAACTATCTATTCATTTAGCGGCTCCTTAATTAAACCAGACACTTTTTTCCCTTGCACTGTTGCGATAATGATTTTGTGGGCAATATTATAATAATATTGATTATGTAAACGCCAAAGGGAGAGAGTGGACCTGAACTGGACGGGGGTGTGTCAGGAATTTACTACACTACACCCAATCTGGGCACAATGTTTATTGAACCGAAATTAATTAGGGATTTTAAAGGGCAAGGTAAAAGCATACTTTGTCATGCCACAGACATATTTATGGCCATGAGGGGCATGAATGGCAAAGGTGCATAAAATAGTTTTTCATTTAAAAGTTTCATCAAATTATGTCGGCATTAAGTTTGTTTGGAGAAAAAGATACAAGAAAAAATAAGTCTTTGTGTTGCATAAAGCAAATGCAAAAGTCAAGATAAAATATGACAATTAACTTCATATCATTGCCATAACTCTCTCTCTAATGGATATAAATGATTGTAAATTAACTTAGATTTACTTACGTGTCTTTGACTAAAGAAAATATCGTACCCAGTCTCGTGGTGTAACGTTATGCACTCGCAAAATTCATTAGACATTCATAAATGATTTCAATTTGAATATTTCCATGTTCTCGTACAGTCAATTGGCTGTGTTTCCAGTTGAATTGGTTTCCATATACCCCGGGCAATTGAGACGACAAGCAGATACGACATCGTCGACAGCAACGATGACAACTGCATACAAAGCGAAAGAACTCACATGGAACTGGGAGCAGGGAACTGGGAACTGGGAACCGATCAACGTTGAATGAGCAAAAACAAAAGGCTGAATAGAGGAAAGAAAAGGTCTCGTCGTAAAGGGAAAAGTTGGACTGAATGTTTGAAAAAAAGCTGGAACAAATTAACAAGTCTTAGTTTGGGTTGGACGAGCGTTCCGGCCAAGCGTGAAGATACCCCAGTGAGGCGGCACCATTGCGCACTCAAAACAGCCCAACAGGCCATTGCGTAAAGACAGTGAAAGCTGGGGAGGAACGCTTTAATTCCATTGAATGCTTAACCGAGGACTAAGCGACTGCAACAAAGGCTTTGTGTTAAATAGTTGAACGGTGCAAGGAATTATAATGAATCCAACACCTCACATGTTGCACACGGGTAGAAGTGTGGTAGAAGCAGAACGGGAATGGGAAGACGGGGATGATAAACCTGTGATAATTCAAATAATCATGGAGTTGGTCTTGCAGACAGTCAGCCACAGCCACATAGCAGCAGCATCCGGCATTCGCACTCGTATCCGCATCCTGCCAGAGGGAACCAGAGCCACAGCCAGAGCCAGAGCCAGCCAGTCAGGCAGGCAATGCAAAAGCACTTTATTTAAGTGAGTCCCACATGAATTGCACTTGGCTGTGCGTCTGGCTGTCTCTCTGTCTGTCTGTCGGTCTGGGCTGGCTGTATGTCTGTCTCCCCTGACTGTTTGTATTTGTAACACTTCTTTGCATTTTTTATGTTCTGTCTTTATAAAGCATGCACCCACCCAGTCAGCCCTTTGGCGGGCGTGCCCCCATCATGCCGGCATCAAGTGCCTTTGGCAGCAGCTGTTTGGCATTTCTGCGGCAGTGGATGTGGCTACTGAATGTGGATGAGGATGTGGCTGTGGCTACGGCTTTGGCTTCTGATTCAGCTCCGTCCTCGACTATGGCGGTCCGCATCTACTCATTATGTTAAGTTAGCTCATCCTTTTGCATTTTCCTTTGGCTGTGCTGCTGCTGCTGTTTGCTTCGACCCAACCCTTTTCATGACTTAAAGCGATTGCTTTTCTACTAAAGTTACAACCAGAGGGCGCATTAAATATGTTCTAATCAAATCAGATTTATGCCTACACATATTTTCGTGCTTGTGCCGAAAACATTTTACCATTTCTTTCAGGCATAAATCACAAGGATGTCAACGACCAGAGCAGGCTCAGAGGCCAAGAGTTTTCCCTGTCATTTCGTATTAAAACAGTTGCAGCAATTTATAGCTAGCACATGCAATGCAATGCGAGTGCAACTAAAGCCATTTACCTTTAGTAATTTCAGAATTTTAATTAAAGGCACTGGCCAGGCAGGCGGCAGTCAGTAGGCGGCAGGCAACTGCATTTCAATCTACGACCTCGGATGGGAGCGAAAGCACCCAGAGACACAGTTGGGCGCTATGTGCAAATGCATCAAAGGACATTTGCATTTGCCCGGCATTTGGAGATAATGTCCTGCGTAGTGGAGGCCAACCGAACTGGACTATCTCTGGCATACATATATGGGCGGCCAGGGCCAGGGCAAGTGCTGGGACGAGGACGTTATTAAATGCAAGTGCATCAGGCGCAGGGTTCGGGATCGGGCTCGGGCCCGAGCTGTGGTTGCCTAACGTCCTGTCCTGCTGGCTGTGCCATGTCCTGCATGTGTTTGTGTGTGTCCTGTGTGGGTGTGCGGGCTTCCTGTGTGCATTACAACTACATTGGAACAAGTGTGCTGCTTGTACTACTAACCTCTTGCAATTTTGGGTTTTGAATTTGCTTAAATTGCATTATTGTCGTTGTTGTTGGAACTGAAGCTGGAGCTGGGAGCTGGGAGCTGTGGCAAGCGCGTTGGTTGTTGCTGTTGCTGCTGCCTTTACTGTTACTCGAAGAGCCCCCGAGCTGATTGCCCTGCATTGTGTTTGCTGCTCAAATTTATCCCTTTGCAATTTTGTGCTTATTTGTTGCAGACTTGCCTGCCTTGCAGCTTTAACTAATTGAAATCGATTTTGAGACGAACGCTGGGAGAGGGAGAGCAGCGAGGGACCAAGTTTCCTTTGCCACTGCCTGACGTCTCCTGTCTCCTGTCCCTTGTCTCTCGTCTGATGGCATCGGGAATCATGTCAGCGTTAAGCCTAAATACTACACCCCAAAGTGCATGTCGTGCGTGCGGTTTGCAGAATCGATTTTTGGACTTCCGGAGCCATCCTTATGCACCCTTCTGCACCTCCTAATAAAACTTGCATGCGCCTTAAGTGCACTCCAACTTTCAAACGGCTGAACAAACTGTCTTCTGGCTTATGGCTGCGGTCTGTATTTTCATGCTTAATTAGATGGCAATCGGACCCACAGAGCGTAAGAGTCCCCACTGCATGCCATCCCATCCAATCCCATTCCATAATTATTATGCACAGAGGCAACAGAACGGCAGCCTGCACAATGGCAGCATGCAAACATGCAGCCAATTACCGTTTTGATTACGCCCTGTCTCCCATCTCTCTCCTTAACTCTTTGCCGGCAAACGCCCTTAAATTTGCTCAATCCCTAACCAGTTCGATAGGAGAATTGGAAACTTTGCAAATGGCTGGCTGCATGTTAATTAGTAAAAGTTTTGTGCTTGGCTTAGAATCGACTCACCTGGGGCTACACCTACGAGTAACTGGCACAGCGCAGAGCCTTTAGCTATTGTTAACCAATAAATATGATCGAAACAAGTTTTACATTCTTCGCCCACTCGACTGTTGTTGAACGACTTTAGAACAACTTCTGGAAGCAATTTTAGACTGCAAACAAGTGATAAATGCCAAGTGCCAAATAGTATTTGTAGCCGCCTAAGGGAGTTGTCTAAAAGTAAAAGTCGCAGATTATGGCAGCAGCTAGAACTATAGTAAGTACATGTAATAAATGAGTAACCATATTATTATCACAGCGTTGACTATTCATCAGCCATTTTCCACTAATCATAACAATTGTGAAGTTAGTTCAATTCAATTCCGATTGTCTCTTCCTGTTGCGTGGCTATTACTCCGTGTGCGTGGCTGAAAGTTGCACTTCCCTTTAGGGTGAACTAAATATTTGCCTTCTAACTCTTTGGTAATCCCATTAGTTTGGCTTTGTCTGGCAGCTGTGTGTCAGTCTGCCATATACAGCGCAAATGTTACCTCACCGACAGGACTTTGAAAAAGTTGCCAACATTTGTGAAAATTGACAAAGTTTGAAGTCAGGCAACAAACATATGGAAAACAGAGCAGCGTCATCCCATCCCATGCCATTCCATGACATCCCATGCCATGCCATGCATGTTTAATGCTGCCTCCAACTGCGTTGCGTGTTTTTGTCTCTATCTGTAGCTGTGTTTGTGTGGGTTTGTGTTCTGTGAGTGTGTGCATGCTTTGTCAAAGGCATCTTGTGGTTGCGTTTACCTAGGGAAATTGCAGCCACATTGTGGCGGCCATCGCCAACTCCAACTTGCACTGATTGCCTAACTGACGTGCGTTCCATCTGCTGTCCTAGCTGGTACTTGGATTGGCATTGGGTTCGGGGTGCGGGGACTGACGACTGGGTCGGTTTGTCTGGATGGCGACCGCTGGCTTGTGGTTAGTCTGCAGTGCTTTTGATTGATTTGGTTTGCTCTCATTTGCTTGCATAAATATTTTCCCAGCTCCAAACAGGGGAAACGGAAATCAATAGAGTTTGGAAACCATAGGACCTGGCAGCAGCATAAGTAGAATATTCGGTCACCCTAGCAGCTTGGCATTTGGAAATTTGGTTTTAATGAAATTACCAGGATTTGATTTTGTTTATTTTTACACATCTTTTATTTAATTAATTTGCAGCTATTTGGATTTTGGCTTGCGCCGCATCCCATCTCCATCACCACCAACACATCTACACATACATACATATTGATTCAGATGTACTATGCATATACGTATGTATGTGTGTATGTATACACATAAATGTTTACCTATGGTAGCAATACAATTTTATTGTTGATTATCTACTTTTTAATTAAATTCCATAAATATTACAATAATTTTTGCCCAATAAATGCAGTAACAGATTTGCGTCAGTTTCATCAATCAGTTGAAATGAATGGAAAGCCCTTTCCGGCAAACCAAATGACATCGAAAAAAAGAAATATATTTATTTTTGTGTCTGCAAAACACTATTTGAGGAGTGCTCTTTGCTCTTGAGAGCGGGAGAGTGTCAATCCAGTTATCCGCTGTTCATTAACCCGACATGTTTTTTACATCAGCTGGTAATTCAGAACAATTTAATTTATCACAACAAATTGAATTACACATATATGTATGTATTTATGTATGAATATAGGTGTAAACACGTGTACTTGTGTATATGTATGTATGTAGATGGATTGGTATCTAGTATGTATAAATGTGGGTATATTTCTAGCTAGCAAATGCACCGGCACTCGCCCCCACTCAATATCAATATCAATATCAATATCGATATTGATTTAAATATAACATCAGTGGTGAATCTTTAGTGAATGATAATCGGTAATCAGTAGTCAGTTAATCAGTTATAGTTAGTTATACTCGTAGATCAGCTATAGCCTAGATATAGTCTTTAATTTGCTCGAGTGTGCGAGAACTTTGGGTGCCTGCTTAATGCCTATTATACACTTAATGAACAACACTTAAGACTTGGCTAAATGCATTTAAATGCCACAATTTGTATCTCTTTATGTGTGTACTCGTGCGTGTTCGTGTCTGCTGGGTGTTCGTTTTAGTTAACGCCACCATTTAGCGGTGTACTTATTATACGTGTATCGTGTATTCTTGTCGCTCCTGCTCCTTCTTCTCGTGATACCTAGGGGGCGCAGGGCTGGTTAGTTATTTGCGTTTCAAGTGCGGGGTAGGTAGACGCTACGGGCATGCAATACAAGCTACAGTCAAGCACTGGGAGCAGCAATTCAATTCATTTCGCGTCAGTTGTATAGTTTACCTTGCCAGCAGTGAGGTCAACTCCTCGCGGTCCATCTTGGCCAGTTGCGCGTCCCCGGTGCTCTCCATGACGCGCTGCACCTCCAGGTCCAGGGCGCGCTGCTCTCGTTCGCACTCGCTCTGGTCCTGGCTGGGGAACTCGCGGCCATCGTGGAAGCCAGCGGGCGGACGAAACCCTCCCGACCGATCCACTCCGGCCCCAGCCATGGCTGCTATAGAGGCGGCCAGCGAGGCAGCCGTCTCCGCATCGACCTCACTGTCTAAACTGCGGAAAGGGAAGAGACTTCGCGTAACTAAAAGTGGAATTGGATCGTCTATCTTCCTGCTAATTCTAGTTCGCTAATTCTTTGCTCTTTTGATCATGATCTTTATTTATTGCTTTTGATTGATTTGGATTGGTTAGGGTTTAGGTACCTGAACTACCTGTTGCTACTACCAGGGCACTTTCGTCGCTCCAACGTTTGGTTGCTGGGCTGTGCCGCGTGCTTGCGGCTGCGCTGGCCGGCGCTCCTCTTCTCGCCGGCCACTCCCACGCCCACACCCAGGCCAAGGACATGGCGCGGCGTATTGTGGCGCCGCTCGGGCGCCGGCGAGCCCTGGTCGTTGTTGGACTCGGTGCTGGAGTCGGGCCGGAACATATCTGCAAGATAGCATGGGTTGGGTGCGATCAAACGCCCATGAGCCCGTGCTCTATACGAACCTACGACGGCGCGGCCGTCACTGCTGCGCGAGGACTTGCAAGGAACTCGATAGGTGGGCATGTTCGAAAACTCGGTGCTGGGACTAATACTCGTGTCCGACTCTGACTCGGCCACCACTCCCACCGAGCTGCCGGCATTCTTGGCGCTGCGCCCCGCGCTCGACTTCTTCGAGTGGCCGGCCTGCGAGCCAGCCACAATGGTCATGGACTTGCTCAGCGTGGACTCTTCTAATCGGGGAGATACATGTACATAATTTGCAGGATAATCTTCAGGGCAGAGCTGGTTACCATCTGTGTTGTAGTAGCGCTGCTTGTGCCAGCTGGACTTGCTCTTCACGTGCCCAAAGCCGGAGGTGGGCAGCAGCGGATACGCGGTGGCATTCAGATTCTCACCCTCCGGGTGGCCGAACGTCTTGAATTGCATGGTGTAGTCGAGTGGAGTCTGTGCCGCCACGGCACGTGTGGGAGTCTTGGCCGGAGCCCCGGTGCGGCCTCCATTCACGCTGAACGTGGCATACGGCGAAATCTCGTACATTTCTACAGGAGGGAGTCATGATAAAGGGCAAGAAAAAACAAGGTTGATTGCCTGCCTTCACACGGGACACGTACACAGCACAGCCTACACCTCAATTGACTCTCGGACTCACCCGACTCGTTGCCCTTGTCCACAGTCTTCACCGGCGAAGCGCTGTACACCTGCTGGTTGCGCCGGTTCTCGTGCTCCTCCTTGTACTCGCCTGGCAGGGCACGACTCTCGTAGCCCTCGGCCATGGGTCCGCACAGAGTGCGTCGGTGCTTGATAGTCAAAGCTCTGCAGAGGTAAAGATACATTTATGACTCTTCGTTATGGCTTTAATTGAAAGATGAAGAAAGAAAGCCTGTCCCCCCGAATGACTCTTGAAGTAATCGCTAAAGCATTTTCTTTAGGCAGAAAACCAAACCTTAAAGCACAAAATGTATTATTATTTCGTTGCGGGTGAGAAAAAATCTCGTTAAAGCCCTGTCAGGACAGTTAATAAATCCTTAATTAACATTCGCAAGCAATTAAGAACCAGCGAACCCCAATGCGGGCCTCCCTAGGACTTCTTAGGCCAGTCGCTGTTCCCAATTGAATTCCCCAGTTGCTGGCACCCAGCCATGGGCCCATGGCCCTGGCGCTGGAGCACTTACATCGTTATGATGGAGACCGTGATGATGACGATGACAATTAGCGTCGAAAACCAATCACCGCTGGTGGGATTTGTTGCATTTATCAGATTGTTCATCAAATCGTTTTCCGATGGGAAAACCGAGGGTGGCGGTATGGTGATGCCGTCAATGCTCGTTGTGCTGAAATGATAATGCTCCGTAGTTTTGCCCGCATCGTTGGTGGCGGAGATGCGCAGCTGATACCACTTGGCTGGCAGAAAGTCGCAGAAGATTAAATTTTCACGATTTTCCTCGGCATTCGAAATATCCGATGTGACAACTGTCCAGCGTATGTCGCCTGCAGGTTGATGCCAGAGGTCAAACACACACCGACACGTACACAGACACACGGGAAATGGAATAAAGAGACAGAGAGAGAGAGAGAGAGAGAGAAACAAAGAGGAAATTATGCATCATACGCCACGGTGCACACGGCAGGGAATACGGAATAAATTTGATAAATATTTATGGGTACAAATGGCTGTAGATTGGTCAGTTAATTGAAAACAAAAATAATTATATTAACTGTATTTAATTTAATGGAAATCCATAAACAACGAGAGAGGCCAAGAAGCCCGAGCGCCCAAGCTGACGCCTGGATACTCTCAATTGTGCATAATATAATTTATTTACGTAATTGCATATCATACAGCCAATTGGCAATATAAATAAGCAGACAGCCAATTATGTTTGGTTCAATGGAGTTAATCCATCGATAGGTTATTCCACCCACTACAGCCACTACGATGATCGCGTATTCCCAATTCGTTGCTAATTTGCACTTACCCAACGGCCGATGCTCTATGGAAAAGTGATGAATGCCACAGCCCCCGTTGTGCCACGATGACAGCTTCAGATTCACGCACGTCGCATTGGTGGCAATTAGTTCGTTGCCATTTGGCGCCTGTGAGGCTGCAAAATACCAATCGAAATTGCAAAATAGAAAAGGGAGAGAATTGGACAGGGCATAAGTATTCAGGTTGACGGCTGCACCGTCAAGTGGCGCTTGCGGTCGGGCACTGAAATTTGCATTCAGTGGCGGACTCCTAGCGAACTTGGGGTATGAAGTTTCGTTAGTTTTTTGAACACACTCACCCTTGCCTTTGGTCCAGACATTAATTTCCTCACTGGACACACCAGAGCCGACCATATTATGTGCAGACATTTTTATAATGTACTGATTTCCGCACTTCAGGCTCGTAATCGTGTAGGCGTTGTTCTCCGGCAGCAGCTCGGTGCTGAACCAACTCTCGCCGGCCGTATGGTGGGAGATGCTGTAGCCCTGCAATGGCGCACCACCATCGTCTGGCGCGTCCCAGCTGACACGTATGCTGTCGGCGGAAGCGTACTGCACGATGATTTGTGGTGCGCCGGGCGGCTTCATCGCAATGACCTGATATTGGATTTCGTCACTGCCAAAGAGATTGTTCGCCGTACATGTATAATTTCCGGACAGGCTGCCTTCAACGCCTGGCAGACAGTCAGGGAAAAGGGGAAATGGAAAAATCGGTTATAAATGTTAATGCGAATACCGTTCAGGCTCTGCCACCCATTCACCCACTTACGGTGTATCTTCAGGTTGCCCTCATTGGTCACCTCATAGAAGGGACTGAAGGTGACGGGGCGGTCGCGGGTCAGCCAGCGTGCCCTCGGCGTGGGATTTCCCACAGCCAGGCACTCCAGCACTAGTCCCGTACCCACGGCCTTGCGCACCACCTGACCAAACGAGGCGATGCGTGCTGGCGCTGAAAAGCAGAGGACAGAGTACAGAGTACAGAGAGAGTGGACCACATCAGCCCATGGGCAAACAGTTAGGTGTGCGAAGTGTGCGAAATTAAAATGTTGCGGCTTTTGTGGCTTTTCCCTGGCTCACAGAATAAATGTCAATTTTTAATTAAAGCGAAAAGTTGCATGCTTTATATACGTATTTATGTATGTAGTATGTATGTGTAAACGAATACTGTATTTACCTCGCGTATTGGTGGCCTGGGCAACCACAGATGTGGGCTCGCCCTCGCCCACGGACGTGGATGCGGATACCCAGAATTCGTACATCTGATTCTCGGCGAGGCTGCGTGCCTCGAATGTCACCGGATACCCATTCTCGTCCACACGCACCATGTGGGCTGTACGAAAAGAAAAATTACATACAGACACACTGTCCGTGTTTGGACTACTCACTCTTGGCCTGGCCCTTGCGGCCCGCTTCCCGAGCATACACCGTGTAGTGGGAGATGATGCCATTGCGATTCTTCGGCGTTAGCCATGAAATCAAAATCGAATCTGCCGTCAGCGCTGCCGCCTTAATGGCCGCCGGTGCATCGGGCACATCGTCGTCCGTCTGGCAGTACAAGGGCTGACTGGCCAAGCCATCGCCGGTGGCCGTGTAAGCCAGAACCCTCAGCGAATAGTTGCTGGCCTTGTGCAGCGTATGCAGATAGGTTTCCAGATTCGAGGTGCGTTTGATCTCCAGCTTGGCAGGAAAGTCAACTAATCAAAGGGGAAGATAGAAAGGTATTTGAGGGGATTTATAATTAACTGCAGCTCTGGCAACCGTGAACTGTATATACTCATATATCCAGTTGACGACAATATTGATTTGATAAGATTTGATAAATCAGTGCCAAAACCAACAATTTGCAGTCTCATCAAGGGACTGGGGCGTTGCCATCGCACATTGAACTCCTCGCCAAAACCAATAAAGTCAAGCAACTAGCTGGCTCCACTTCCCTCTGACTCCTGACGCGGTCCGTGCTGGATGGATGGCTGCCTGGCTGGCTGGCTGGATGACTGACTGTCTGGATACATATCATATCTATTGCTGTTTGCACAGCGCTCTTGCACTGGCAATATCAACAAAATCAGCGTCATAAAGTGCCAACTGCAAACTCCCAGCCGCATTCACAGTCGCTGTATGCTGCCACGGAAACTGGCACTGGAACACTGGAACTACAGCTATGGCTGAAAATGCATGTACTCACTTTGATGCACAATTGGGCGATATAAGATTTTATATCCCTGTATAATGCCGCCATGGAATTGCAGCGGCGGCTCCTGCCACGAAATCTTCAGACTCTGCGAAGACAGGGCCGTGCAATTGACATTCTGTGGCGCTGCCTCGGGCACTGTAAGAGTAACACCCGGACACCCGGTTGTAGGACATAGATTGCATATCGAGCTCATTAGATATACGCACCTCCCTCGGCCGTGGTGCCGAAGATAGCCGCACTCCAAGGGCCCGAGCCGAAGCTGTTCAGGGCCCGCACGGTGACAGCATATCGGGTGTACTTCCGCAAACTCCGCAGCGTGGCCTTGGTGGTGGCCCAACCGCCGACAATCACTGACTTCAGGGAGTTATTCACGACGCTAATGTAATTGATATTCTGCTTTTCCTCGGTACAGTTCACCGTGTAGCCAATGAGTTCACCGTTCCAGGACTCTCGGGGCGGGATCTGCAATTAGTTTAAGATATTATGCGGTGTAACCCACAATCCCACACTCCTGTTGTCCCCCTTCGCACCTGCCAAGTGACTATTAGCTCGCTCTCACCGCCTGTCTGCACCTGAACATTGGATGGGGCTTCTGTGGGCGCCTCTTCCTGGGTCTTGAGCACGATGGCTTCGGTATAGGCACTGCGTTCAATCTCATTGATGGCCTGCATGCGTATGAGGAACGTCGTCGCCGGCGTCAAACCCGCCACAATGGCGCTCTCGCGCAGGTCACTGTCATAGCTGTCAAAGGAGGGCAAACACAACATGGCTCGGCAAAGGCAAACATACCAAGGACGCACATGACACATACCTGCGACTAATACTCGTCGATGGCAGACTGACGTTGATGACGTTCAGCCCGTTCCAGTCGCCCCCCGCCGCACCCAGCGCCGCATGCGACTGCAGATACTTGAGAGCTTGATACTGCACCAGATAACTGAGGACTGGGGAGTTCCCATCGAAGGGTCGACGCCAGCTGAGCTTCACTGTGCGGGAGCCCACTTCAAAGACCTCCAGATTGGAGGGCGTGTCGGGTCTCTCCTGCACGGCCAGATAAATGATCTGCTCGGCGCGACCGTAGGGATTTTCCGCCACACAACGATAGACTCCCGAGTCATGGCGATCGGAGTGGCCGATGGTCAGCTGTGAGTCCACACCCTTGTCCGTCTTCATCTCGGCAATGCTGAAGCGAAAGTTGTTCAGATCAATGCGTCCATTGTTGTGGGTCCAGCCAATGGTGATGGGCTCATCGCCCTTGGCATGGCAGTCCAGGGTCACGGGATCATTTCGGCGGGAACTAATATTGCGAGCGGGCTGCTCGAACCGAGCGGGTTCTGTACGAAATAGAAGGTACATTAAAGCAACCCATTCGGGCTGTGATATGCTCTGAGCTCCAATTACCATTCACATTGATGCGTATTATCTTCTTGAGGCCGGCTCCGATTTCGTTTGTGGCGCGGCACATGTAGTAACCCTCATCGTTGTCCGTGGCCAGATTCAGCAGCAGCGAGTGATTACGCATGCTCAGGGGCTTGAAGTCCTTCGAGGCTTTGCCTGCAATGGGACTCTTTTAATTTAACTAATTACCAGGCAGACTCCAGACTCCAGCACTGCCAAATGTTAATTGTCAAGTTGGATCTTGGGCATAGGCGACCCAAGGCTCAGCCCATTGGGACTTTAATGAGCCGTGTGCCTAGGTCCGGGTTACGATTTTGATTGGCAAACTTACCCTGACCCTTGAACCAGGTAATGGCTGGAATCGGATATCCTTCCGCCTCACAATTTATCGATATTGTGTTGCCCAGCATAATGGCCGTGTCCATGGGCTCGTAGCTCCAGCGAGGTGCGACTGAAACGTGACCAGAACCCAGAGCAAAGCGTAACGAACGGAGAGAAGAACAAACAACAACAAAATTAACAACTTTCGGATAGGTGTGTGCACGTGTGTGTGTATATCTTAGCTTTGTGTGCATACACCGAGGGAAAGAGGATGTCAAGTTTTGGAGTTTAGAAAGTAGATTTGGTTCAAAAGGTTTAACAAATCAATCGAAATGGAAATTTCATGAAAAAACTTCATCAAATTATATTTTGTATTCTTCATTTCATACAATCTTTCTCTCAGTGTAGGCCGAAAAAAGGGCAAGCAACTGGCGCACAAATCCTGTGTGATTTATTTTTGAATCAGCAGCGAGTCGCTTCAATAGACACACAGCAGGCCATGCCCATCCCCATCCCCATTCCATTGCCAGCCCATCCCAGTAGAGGCCACTCACCCCGCACTTGCAGCTCTGCCGTGTAGTTCACCTTGGCAGCCGCGTTGCCCGCGTAGCAGGTGTACTTGCCGCTGTGCTTTGCACTGATGTCCTTGAGCACCAGCAGCGAGTAGAACTCCTCCTTTTTCTCGGTAATCTGGTAAATTGAAAGAAACACAAGAGTAGCGACAAAGACGTGCAAAACTTTCTCGATGCCATTCGGACAGTTTGAAACAAAGAAGAAGGACTGGCTGTACGAAGGACTTACCTGCAGGCTGCTAGGAATGGAGCTGTCATCCTTCTTCCAGCTAAAGTAGATGGGCATGTCGCCCGAGGAGACTGCACAGGTGATTTGAGCGCGGCCGCCCTCCTGCAGGTTCTTGGGGAACTTAAAGGGCTCGATGACGGGCGGACCTTGATGAGCGATTAGCCAACAATGCGGGCAGACATTAATGTGTGTGTGTGTGTGTGTGTCAGGAGGAGTGGAGTGCAAAAGAGAGTGCCGAGGCTGACAGTTCCCCCTGAGAGTCCCCTCTACTTACTGTTCACGTTCAATTGCATGTCACGGCGCGCTTCCTCGCCGGCCCGACTCCGCACAATGCACGTGTAGATGCCCTGGTCCCGTCCTGGCTCCACATTCTTGATGACCAGCTGCCCACCCTCGGCCACTGTGGCCAGCTCAAAGTGTGTGCCTGTGTGGATAGGGGGTGAGGTAAGGAGAAAGAGCAGGAAGAACATTGGAATGTGTAAAGTGCTGTCGACCGCCCTTCTCCAATTTGTCTTACTCGTTGTCAATTCCTGATGCGCTTTCTCCCATCTAATTTGTTCGATGGGATAACCAGCAAACGGACAGTGCACAATTATGTCCTCGCCGGCAACGGCTTTGATCGGTCCAATGGCTCGCACATACGGTGGTCCTGAAGTGAAACGTACAAGAGATTGTAGGAAAAGCTTTTAGATATATTTTTTGGGAAATGGATTAATATTTCCTGAGTAAACTACAGATTAAATATTCTTTAACCCTATGAAAACTCTATCAAGTAATTTCGGTGTTTCTAGTTAAATTTAAAGTTTAATTTCTGCTTAAGAAAAGTATAATATTGATAAAATAAATTAGTTTGTCAACAGCTTTTTATAACTACTCAAATCAATGACAAACACTTATTTTCTGTTGGTTTTGGAGTTGCAGTTGCTGCAATTAAGACTCCAAATGGAAAGCTACAGGGGGTCTGCTTCAGCAAGTGAATGACAGGGCAGGGCAGTAGCTGTACTGTTAATTTCACCGCAACTGTATGGGTTTGTTCGTATTAGGGCATTGAGAAATTTATTAAATTAGTTACAAAATGCAATTAAGCAGGAATACGGCACACGAATGCTGAATATTTCCAATTATATTCGTTTGGCGCACAAGCGACGCTAATGCATAAAATGCAGATGCAGCCACAAGGCTGCTCTCGTGTGTGTGTGTGTACTGCAGCTGTATGTATGCATTTTTAGTGCTGCTAATGCGGATCGTCTGCATGGGTAGAATGCGTTGCATAAATTGCAATATTCATAATTAAACAGGCGGAGCCAGAGCCTGTGGCTATCCTGCCACCCACCCAATAGGATTCATCGGGCAGTGCAGTCATTACGTTCGATGAGCGGTGTGGACATGGCAGGAGATGGAGCGGTTTGTGGTTAGAGCTGGTCATAATCGAAACTATTTTGACATAAATATGTGAGGCAGCCCATGTCAGTGTGCGAGTAGAGGAAAAACCACTGAAACCCAGAAGGAGACTGACTACACTCTGGGGGAGGTCTCTCCATCTACTGATTTATTCAGTCATTCACTCATTGGCTCACATTCTAGATACATCGGGAACAACTGGCCGTGGCTAATTTGATTTTCAATTCAGCTCAAAGTGCGGCCTGGACAGCTTTCAAAACAGAATCATTTATCATCAATACGCACGCCCACTTAAATATCAAGTATACGCAAGCACACACAGACACAACAGGCAACCATGAGGATATGGCACACAGGGATTGGAGCTGACAGAGCGTTCATCATCAATCACTTGGCATGAAGGGCATATGATTTATATCTGTCACATATCCATTCCTTTATGCATTATTAACACGTTGAGATTACGCATTCGGAACTGCTTACAATGCCCAAAAGTTCCAAGTCAGTGGGGGAAAGGAATACCGTGCAAGATTCCCGTATGCTAAGAGTTTTATATTTACAGTTTATGCTCCGATGTGAGCTCACAGAGATTATCTGTGAGTTTTGTATGCGGGATAACAGCCATTGGTAGCGGCAATTCACACGAAGACTCTGAAATTGGAGAGACACAGCCACAGCAGGGGGAACAGCGGCATCGGCAGCTTGTTAGCGGGCAAAAGCCGAGGCATTGATGCCGCGGCTTTGCTTGCATATCGTGTGGCATGATTGGAATGAAAGAAACATCATCATCGCCTGCTGCCTGCTACCTCATGCCTCCTGCCTCCTTGTTGTCGCAGTCGATGTCGCTGCCTCAAGAGATTTTCTTTGACGCGCAGCCAAGCATTTTCTTGCTGAATAGCAGAGTTATTTTCCCCATATCTCTGCACTCCTTTTTATACATTCAGTTTTTGTTTCGTTGCCTTGGCAGCGTTTCCAATCAGCTCTCTCCTCGATTGGCGATCCCTGATTCCCGATTTCGCTGCTGCTCCTGCTTCTGCTGTTCATGGACCGGATTCGGAGCCCCTTGGGATTTGCATTGTTTGGCCAGCATACAAAAGGGTCGCGATAACAAAGCGGACGGAGGCAGTGATTCTTCAAAACATTCTTATTTGTAGGTCAATATAGCAACTTACCGTAGACATTTAACCTCGCCGAGTGTTGAACACTGCCCATCGAGTTGGTGGCCACGCACCTGTACAGACCGCCATCGTCGGGTCGCACATGTGAGATATTCAAATGGCTTATCACGTCACCGGACATGTCGACAAATTGCCCGATGGCAAAGCGATGATGCAGCGAGACGTCTATAATGGGCTGCGAGTCCAGCAGCCAGGAGAACTGCAATGAGCACAGACAAAAATCAATAAGAACCGGCGGCACCTTCTGCAGGCCATAATTTCAGCGATTATTTAGCAATGTGTGGGTGTACGTGCTCGTGTACGTTATAATATTGCATAATAAGGCCAATAAAACATTTGTGGGGGGTTTGTGTGGCAGCTTACTTGGGGCGGTGGTGAGCCGCTGGCGGAGCACTTAAGCGATATTAATGGCCCGGGACGCACATTCTGCTCAATGAAGGTGTAAATCAATTCCGGCACAGTGTCTGGAAGGAAGTGAGAGACGGTTACCACCTGATAAATGCCAAAACTCTGGCACATAAACTATGCATGTCGCCCGTCAACTTACCGCCCAGCTTCAGCTCGGCCATGGCCTGGGCACTGGCGCGTTGGTTCTCGACAAGGCACTGATAGACACCGCGGTCGCGCCGTCCCACGTTCTGTACCAGCAGCGAACTCTTCGACAGGAACCGTATGCTGTCAAGGACAAGGGGTTAAAAAAAAAACAGAAAAAGAATAAAGCAAAGAGTGTTAAAAATGCCAAGTTTCTCGGGTAAAAACTCCTGAAAACTGAAAACGTTGCAGAAAAAAACCCGAGCCAGTCCCGCAATTTCCCATAAACTCACACCAAGCCGGAAAGACACATGTGTGTGTGTGTGTTTGCCCACGTAGCCTTTTGTTCATTCAGGCGAAATTTGTTATTTATTTTATTAGCATAAGCATAAAAATTTCTGCTTGATTTGTAATGCTGATTTGCTCGGTCTCGGTCCTCGGGCTCCCACTCATCGCCGCCTGCTTATCCCCGAGCAATATTCCTTGGCCAGCAGCTGGCCAACGCATAGAGAGGAATACGTACACAGATATACGTAGATATATAAACGTATTTACATAAGTATGTACACATATATGAGAGAGAGAGAGAGAGAGAGCACAAGGGATGTTTGTTTTTGCCGGCCAGTTTGTTTGCCACCAGCTGCTGCTGTACAACTGCTGCCATCTCTGGCTGCAAATTTAGTTTGCTTTCGGTTTTGCCCTGGCATATTATGCTGATTTCGTGTAATTTGCATTAAATTATCAAGATGTGTCCGAGCTATTCAAGCGAAAATATGCACAAAGCGTCTGTTGCTCTCTCTCTCTGCCTCTGGGCCAAGGATATTCCCCGAGGCCTGGGTAAACTACTGCTGTGTGTGAAGTGTGGGATTTGCATCCATTATGCTATCCTTGCCGGCGTACTAGTAGATATACACGTGTAAGTGTTTGGATATGCCAGGTGAGCCTTAATTAAAAACAATAGAATCTACGTTTCTATTTGAACAGAGCGGCCGCGCATAGTGCTCTACGGATTAATTGCTTTTCGCCATCAGCAGACATCGAAAACCAATTCAAATGAAACTATCCGCAAACATTTATGCTGCATTATCATTGGAAACAATCAGAGTCCTTTGAGCACTGACCTTACACAGCATCACTCAATCAGCCCCCGCCGAAACAGAGCAAAGCTTTTAAACAATCAACTGAACCAAAACCGAACCGAGCCCAAACGAACCGACGCGAATCGCATCGAAGCGAATGAAAATAAAAATGCAGCTGCGGAATCAGAACTGCCACCGAAAAACGTCACTAATACCGGTGTGACACTTGCTGAAATTTAAACTGACTTTTGGGATTAGTGGTGCCAAAGAACCAGCAAAAAATTGACACATTTTGAGTTTAAATAATACAACAAAAATAAATACATACGTTTTTCTCTTTTAAAATCAAATCTTAAAATATCGAACAAAAAATTGCACAAAAAAACGATAAGTTTACGTCATTTATTTTTAATTTTTATACCCATTTTAAATATTTAATGTTCTTAAATGTTTCAATCAATTCGTAAAGTAATATAAACCTGAAATAAGTCCAAGTATTCCTCCGTCAGTGCAATATTAAGTAACTGACATACCCGTTCGATGGCGAAAAAAAATGTATTTGCGGCTGGCAGGCAATGAACTGCCATATAAAAATGGTTCGCTCCTTGCACACCCGCCCGTTGCCAGCCATGGGCAGCCGCTTCGACCACGTCCATCAATAATAATAATAATAACAGTAACAATAAAACATTTTCACTATGAGAAATGCCCTAACAACGACGGACGCCGAAAATAATAGAGGGCTGAGGGTAATCTATGGCTGGCTCTGTGGCTCTGCTTTTTTAATATTTTTGGGACGGAAGGAAGGCTTTGTAGCAACCGTTTTGCAACTGGCAAAACTGATAAAAATCGAAATCGGCTATACAATGTTGCATGTGGGTTTCCTTCCCTGCCTTGCCTGCCCGGTTGGTTGCATGTTGCTCCTATTTCGCACATCCTCTTAGCCCGCTTCCTCCCATGCCTGCAAGGCCTCCCAATAAAAATCCCAATCCCAGTTTCATGCCGGTTTGCCTCTACTTACTTATCCCTGCCGGTGGTTAGTGCATTATTCGCCTGCAGCGGCTTGCCATTGTGCAGCCAGTCGATGGCATCGATCGCCGAACCCGTTGTGGTACAATTGAAATTTGCCGTTCCGCCCGAATTGACAATTTGAACTTGCGGCAAAATATGCACAGATACATACGAATTGACACTCAGGCGTATTTCGATGCGCTGCTCCCCGAACTGATTCGAGGCCTGGCATATCTGGAACGAGAGCGACGAAAGGGCCGCACAGTTAGAGCGGAAATTCCAGAGTGTTTTTTGGCATTTATATATATATATATATGGGTATATATAGTATGTTTGGAATGGAATCTCAATCCGAAATGGGGGTATGGAATGTTCAGTTTGTCAGCAGTTGGATGTTTAATGGTTACTTACCCACTTGCCCGCATCGCGTTCGTCAGCATTTTTGATGAGCAGCAATGTTCGTGAAAGTATCACTCGCTGTGACGAGGGTATGGGATAGAGAGCTGCCGAGTCGGAAACGCGATACCAGCTATAAATCAGACAATGTAAAGCATAAATATGTAAACTCGCTTTATGCCAGGCTTCAACTTTGCTTGACTGTTGTTTAACATTCAAGCTTAAATAAAATTCTACCATATGGATTTAAGGTTTAATGTTTGTGTGGTTATGAGATAGAAGCTCTGCAGTCCGCTCTTCAAAGTACTCAACACAACTTTCACTCAATTACTTAGTTTACATTTTAGTTTCAAGACTAAAAGAGTAATCTTTCTTTGTTTTATCCATTCCAAAAAGAATATTTTTCAGCACGCACTCAATCACTTACAGATTCATTCACGCTCCGGCACAAATACTCTGAGAAATCAATAAAAAAAACAGACTCGTGGGGCAGTTGCCTGAATAACGATTCAGCATCTTCCACTTCAGTTGGCCATTCTGGCCACGTAGAGCAGACCGGCTCACGCATAAACTTATGCTGAAAACAAAATTATCGCATTTTTTCCGCATTTATAGTAATCAGAGCAGGAGTTTTCCCTTCTCCAGCTGTCTGCTTGTAAAATATTTCTGGCACTTTTCCTGTCTGCTTCAGCGTTTATGGTTTTCCACAGAAAACTTTGCTCTTTGCATGTTTGTCTTGTGCACAGCCACTCTTCCTCTCAGTCTGTCTGTCTGTCTCTCTGAATGACTGCCTGAGCTCCTGTCGCGTGTTTGTCTTCTCCAGAAGGACTCCCCGAGTATGCCAGAGTTTGTGTGTATTAAGTGTTTAGAACTGTATGAAATTTTAATAAGCCCTGCTAAGTGAAACAGACTGTTAAATTAAGTTCCCCACGAGCATTGGCAGTGGCGCTTACTGCTTTATCTTGCTAATTAGCTGTAACGGCCCGTCATGGGGTTACTTGATATGTGCTCCATTCTTTGACTTTTATCCATTCATCGAAATTACTTTATATTGTTTTGGGCATCGATTTGCTTTGTTTGTTTGTGTAAGCCGATACATTTCGAGCGGGTAAACAAAATGATTAAGTTACTCCCAAACAGATGGAAACTAAGACTGAGACGGGAGTAGCTTTGCCTTGTCTTGTGCCCATTATTAGTTTGTTTGTCGAGTGAGTGGATTCGTTATCTATTAGCACATGGCTAATGCCCGTGCCGGTTAGTGCCCCGGTGCTTTCAGTGTGTCCGTAAAGGCACCTAATTAGCACTAAAACAGCAGTCCCTAATATGCAATAAAGCCAGAATCCCCTGACAAACATTCAAATGCACTTAAGTGTTGTCTATAACCAGGAACCCTACTCCCCACACCCTCTTCCCAATGGCTGCTGCGTGATGTTATTTTATTGCCAACTGCTGCGAGATACTCAGAAACAGATAGAGATTTGGGGGCCGCCAGCAGGCAATGCCAAAAACAGATGAAATTAGCCCCCATAACGGAACAGAGACAACAGAAACAACAGAAAACAAAGGTTAAGGCAAAATATAGGACTGGGTTAACTCACGTAAATATGGGGAATGGATTGCCCTGTATGTTGCACGGTAGATGAACATCATTTCCACGCTCCACGTGAATCTCCATCACGGGCTTCTGGGTGGTGCGTGGTGCCAGGTTCTTGCTTAGCTCTGTGAAAGCATACAATGAGTAATGTTACCAAGGAGGTGAAGTGGGGTTGATTGTCGGAGCTTACCCTTAACCTGCAGCATCACTGCATCGCTGCGCTGCCGCTCCCCGTTCAGTGTGTTTGTCACCAGGCAGCTGAACTTCATCAGGCCATCCTCGGAGCGCACCGAGCGAACGTACAGGTCCCCGGAGGCGGCCAGGACCACATAGCGACCCGCTGTGCAGAAATAATAACTATCGTGGATCAGAGACATTGAAAATGCAACCAGCAAGAGCTCGATGCCGAAATAACTACAGCAAAATCAAAGCATTTCCCCCTGCATCCCACTGCGTATACGTAACCATTTCCAATAAATGTCAACGCTATCCCATCCCTCACCCACCCCCCAGGGGTGATGCTGCAACTTCATTGGTAGCACACAACAGAAAGAATTGTGTGCACATAAATTTCAGAAGCAGATAAACACCCACAAAGGGTGGGCGCTGTGTGTAAAAATGTGGCAACACTCACCGACATCCGACAGATCCGGGAGCAGTATCTCCTCGCCGCGATGCCAGCTGGCCACGCGCACATAGGGCCGCACATATTCCGGTATGGCGCACTTAATCAACGCCGAATTTCCCAAATAGACTTCAGTGTTTTCCACGTGCACATGAAATTGACGACGCACCACTGGGAGGTGGAGAACCAGCAGCAGCACCAGAACCAGACCCAGACATAGAGTCACAGGCGAACACAAAAAGAAACAGAAATCAGAGAAAGACTGTCAGAGATATATCGTATAGATGTATATGTATATGTGTGCATGCTGGCGAAGAGAGGAGAGAGGACAGGATCCCGAGTGGAAATAAAAGTCAACAAACGTGGCTGCTGTGTCTGCCCGTTGGCGCAAACGGCGCATACAGATGAGCGCATAAAACGCTTTCGGGGTAGCACACAGCACAATCCATGGCGACCGACCATCGGGTAACGCCTGCGACAACAGCAGAGCTGGAGAGCAGCAGGGCCAAGCGGGGGCAATAAACGTGGCACAATGCAAAAATGGCAGCAGTTTAAATGAATGAAATCGCTTGAAATTACATGCAAAGCGGAAGTTGAAGAGCAGACAAAATACGAAAATCGAAAGAAAGGCAACAAAAAAAGACGAAAAGATATATGCATCTCTCGTATATGTGTGTGTGTGTGTGTGCGAGAGAGTTACTGTTACTCATGGATGGAACAGATCGAAAGAAGAAACAGTGCAAAAGTCGACTGTGAGATACTGAACACCACAGAGTTCCATTTACAATCCACAGTATCACATTGTCTTTCGAAATTCGAAGTTTAATGGATAAAGAAGAGTGCCAGAATGCACCGAACCACCTGATATTACAGATAAATCTTTTGTGGGGTATAAACCAATTCGATTCCTTTTCCCCGTTTCATGCATCCACCAACGTTGTTCTTGTGCCTCGTAGAAAAAGAGTGACACAAATGATACACATGGAAAATGCAAAGTGTAAATATTGAATGAGATTTTAAGCGACTATCATGCATCGTTGCTTTTTTTGGGGCCGTGCTGTGGGGGATTGGTTTACTTTGGGCCTGGAGCTGTGGGCCAGTAAGTAAATACCCTCAGCGATAGCTGTTTTCGAGGTCAAGCATTAAGAGCGAATGGGGGAATGCAAACAGAGAAAGGATAAAATAATTAAGTTAATTTCATGCAGAATGCTGTTGGGCGGGAAAATACTAGCATAGTAAGTTGCATTGATCGCCTCAAGCGATGGCGGCATATGTCAGGAAATGCATAGGAAATGAATGTTATATGAGGGGAAATAGGAAAAAATGGAGGCAAGAAAGGAGAGAAACTGGCGCACAGGTGACAGGCCCCAGGCCCCAGGCCCAGGGCTGGCAGCGGAAAGCAGAATCGCAAAGAATGCAGGGACACCCCATTGGAGCAGAGGCATCCAGCCGCCCGTGCCAAACGTGAGCGGCTTCGAAATGCTGTCATCATAATGCGCCCAACAGCTTTTACTCTACTCCTGGCTCCTCCTGGATCCGCACCATAGTTTGTGTTGCATGCTAATGGTGGGGGCTCACTCCACTCGCAATAGTCGGGCAGCTACTTTAGTGTACTTTACGCTTACCTGCCTGCACCTGAACGTTCCGACTGAGGATGGTGCCCGCCTCGTTGCTGGCCCTGCAGCGGTAGGTGGCCTCGTGCACATCCGTGCGATAATATTGCGCCAAAAACGGTGGGAAGTGCAGCGTGCCGTTGCCAGATATTTTCCTAGAAATACACATACAAAAGAAGCGAATGGCGAAAGGCAAAATGCAATATTTTAGTGGGCGCATTCTTTGGGCTTCGTTCGTATTTATTTATTTATTTGGTAAAAGGAACGGTGCAGAGCGGAACGACTCAGGCGAGAACGTAACACACAAATTTGTTCCACAAAAGCGCCAGAAAATGGCAGCCACTTTGCTGGCGAGTATTTTTACGAGCATAGCACACAAGTCCAAGTGCTATACATGGAGCGTAAAGTGTGAATTTACATAAAAATGCAATAAGCGTAATGCTGTGTGTAGTCATAGAGCCATACTTACTTCTATACGTACTTATTTAATATATGTGCATGTGCATTTGTAGCACATAACTGATATGAAAGGGTCTAAGCTGCTGTAATTTTCGATGCCCTTAACAATTGCTTTGGGTAAATGCCATGCCATGGGAAACCAAAATATTTCTCTGCTCTGTCTGCGTTGCTTAGTTATTTCTAAATCAAAGCCAAATCGTAATTACTAACATTTCTCTGGCATTTTCAGGGATTCCTTTGGCTTGTTCGGCTCTGTAATCCCAAATGTCAGTGTGCATGAGATGCCAAATCAGGCTTTAAGCTGCTACAGGGCTTTAAGCCATTTGATTATCGTTGTGGCTGCAACAGAACACCCATCAGGTTCCCATCACATAACTCATGCAGGCTACCCGCCCCATCAACCAGTCCTGCTGCAGTCTCAGAGTGCCAGTTCCCGCTAATCATCTCCACTGCAGTCGGGGCTAACAAGCTCCGACGACATGGATGAGGTTTTGGATGGGGTTGAGGTCTGCTGCTGGGGCTGGGACTGCTGCAGAGTTGTCCTGTGGAAGCGCCGGGCGAAATGGCAAACAGCATCAACCGAAAAAGGGAAAACTTCATCAAGCGCTGTTTTCAAAAATGTTTAAGTGCCAGCAATTTGTTTACGTCTATTGCGTTTGCAGGGAGTGCACAGGGAAAAAGACAGAGAGAGAGAGAGAGAGAGAGCTTTCCATTCCCTTGCTGTCCGTCGACAGTTTGACCGTCTGTCCGTTCGTCCATTCGTCTGTTGGTTGGGTAGATAAGTACACGTCCTATATACATATACCACCCGTCACTTGAACTCAACTATGCTCTTTAGTAGCTTAAAATAAATTTGGTTTCATTTCTATGCACTGCCATCGCATTCGAGTTTCTCCTTTTCTCTTCCCTTTTTCGGGTACTCGCACACACTTGAAAAGCCCAGCATTTGGACAAGTGTGAGTGTGTGTGTGTGTGTTGTGTGTGTGAGACATATCCTGTGAGATCACGTATTTGAAATGACATTTCATTTTGCGAAACATAAAAATTCTTTTAGTAAATTTCGTTGCCATCTGTGTTTTGGCCAGGGAGTTTTTTACAATTTTTATACGCATTCATTTTCGGTTCGTGCTATGTATGTGGCATGTGCGCTATTTTTTACGATTTATTGGGGCTTTCGTTTGGTTTTATTTGCGCGTGTTTTTGTTATATAATAATCCGTTTAAGAGCCCTCTCCGTGCGGATCAACAGCAATTTGTTAACAGCAGCAGTCTAAGCCAAACAAATAGTTGCTGATGGAAATATATGCAAGTACACATTTGGAAGCGATAATTGTGTGAAGCCAGTGCTAATGGATGCCAGCCGTGAAAGCCACAAATTAAAGATTCACTTGTGTGTTTGGCTGTGGAACGACTAATGTACTCGTCTTGATTAATGCTGAACATGGCATTGCACACGCGCATCACATTTAAGTTGTCAGTTGCGACATTTTTAATATTTTAAATGTTCACAAAGCTGCCACAGACAAATAGATAGAAGAGAGAGTAGATGGGATGAGGCCTGGCATTAACATATGACTGCCGCAGATGCAGTTGCCGTCAGCATTACTTTTGTGCAATTTCTTTGGCTTTTTCAGGCAACCAGCAAAGGCGCGCCTTTTGTTGGGGCACCCTCGGCTGCTGTTGCTTGTCAAGCATTTTCCATTGAAAAAGTTGACACAAAGGGGAGGAGCTGCTGGGAAAATGCAGTGCAATGTCTGTTAACATTGATTTTCACAGCTCGACTTTCGAGCAGCAGCGTCTTCGCGGCAGCAATGTCAATTAAAACGAAAGCGTTTCCAAAAATAACTTTAATGCAGCGCCGCAAACAGAAGCCGCAACAATGTGACTTCCGAAACCGCCGTCAGGAAGCCAGACGACACATACTTATGCCAACACACACTCACTCACTCACTCCCACACACACTTACAGACATGAGCATATTATTACATAAACGCATTGTTGGGGCAACCGCAGAACTTACCTCAGTCCCGGCACCTGGGTCGCCAGCGTTCCGTCGCGCAGCACCCAGGACACAACGGGCGGTGGGTTGCCGTGCGCCGTGCAGGTAACCTGTGCCCCCGTGTCGTTGCCGAAGAGCAGTCGGGGTGCGGGCTCCAGCAGGAATGTGGGTACGCGTAAGCCGCTTGTGGCCAGGACTGGCGGCAGTGGCAGGAACACGAGCAGCAGCAGCAGCGGCAGCAGCCCTAATGCTGTGGCAGTAAGCGCTGAAACGGGAGGCCCCCAGAAGAGGTGGAAAGAGAGCGTGTACCAGGTTAATTATCCACATTGTCGTTATAGTCGAGTGTAGTTTGCTTAAAACTTTAATGTCGTTGCACATAGCTGTTGCTGTCGGCAGTCTGCGCCACCCAGCGAGCCATGTGTGCTCTGTGCCTCGAGTGCAACTCATAAATGCGGTTAATTTGGATTCGGTTTCGTTCGCTGGCAGCACTCGACAGCCGAGCCGCCTCTTTAGCAGCGGCTTGTGTAGATGAAATTCACTTTTCGTATGTATATTTATGCAGTCTGAGCTGTTTGTTTGCCAGCAGCAGCCACACGAGCAGCAGTAGCAGCTGTGCAAGGGCATCCAACACTAAAAACCGAAGCTGGCAATACGCTTCCAGCTCCGCCACAAAATCCCGTTTTGAATTAAGTTTGACTGAATCATGTTGAAACATCAAAATGGAACTTGGAACAGAGCGCTTCTCCTTCCTTTGCTTTAGTTCTGTACAAAAGTTTATTAACTCCCCCGCTGCTGAAAATGTACAAAAACTGAGAACTTACCTTTTGACTTGGCTAGAAGAACAAGCTCTAATAAACTCATTTCGTTGCATGTAAATTCAGTGCTGGATGTAGAAAATTAAATTTAGTTTCGTTTATTTTTGCAGCTGCTTGTATATTTTCTCAATATGCAATATGCAGGAACATCTACGGGTACACAGTTTCTTCTGGCTCTGGATCTGGCTGTGTGTTTGCCTTTTGCATAAACTGTGCTTGCTGGCTGGTTGCTTATTTATGTTTTTGTTTGAAATTGTTTGCAGTTATGTTGCCGGTTGTGTCCAGCCACCTGAAATATACAGAAAACGAAAGCCAACGTTTTAATTTACATATGCATTATGAAAATGTTTGGCTTTCTATTGTTTGGCTGGCCAATTTGTAAAACTGAGAAAGCAAAACAAAAAATATATTTCTTTTTTTTAGCAATTATGTTTTCCGGCTAGTACGAAATGTTTTTGTAAATATAAATTGGCAGAGTCACATTTGAGCTTAAATGTGTCGTTTTTTATTTAACAATGGATTGCAGCTCCTTCAATCTCTTTTGTCCATGGATGATTGTCTGAGTAAACAAAACTTTAAGTGAAAAAGCTTAGAGAAACTTTTAGAATTCTTTAAAGTTTTAAAGGTACATATCCATGGTGCGCCTTGAAACTAAGCCATTTCTTGCATTAAACTGTACTTTAATTTCAATATGCAAACCCGCTGATGGAGCTTCCCCGAAATGTTCTTTATATTCATGTCAAGTTCAAATCATTTTAGTGACAAAGGGCACTGGCTGGGCAACGATTTGCAGTCTGAGTTGCGCAAACAAACCCAGCGACAATTACAACAATACAACGGTATACGGGATACAGAACACAAAGTGCTGTATAAATATGCCAGACTCGACAACACATGACGACATAGGCGAGAAATCAACATCAGTTCGCCGCATTGGGAGGCCAGCACTGCCACATCCAGGACACACACTCACATTTGCCAGAGAGCAATCCTCCGTTTGCTTTGCTGTAGAGCTCTTGGTAAATACATTTAACGAGTATTTATGAGCGAGCATACGAAATGAATGACTTTTGCCATCATTAAATTTTATTTGGAATGGCACAGGGCACGGGGCACGGGGCACAGGCACAGGGCAAGTTCTCTCTGCTCTGATCCAACCCCATGGAATACATGCGCGCCCGACTACAATGAAGAAGACATAAACATGTTTTGAGGTCGAGAAGCAGGAGTTCAACAGCCCAGTAGAAAAGTTCGAGCCGAATCCTTTTCCATCCTCAGTCGGTCGGGCACTTAGCTTAGCGACTAAATAAACATCATCATGACACCCATTACAAGAATCGACAGAAGCTGGAGAGTCTGTGCTGGTCCCGGAGAAATCCCGTAGAAGGAAGCGCTCCATTTGGGCGGTGAGGGTCACACTGAAGAGTTCTTTTTATGTTTGCAACTTGACACCTTTTTATTGAGTGGCGGGGCGTACACCGTAGACGCTCTCGACCCATGTGTGAGGCATCTCTGTTTGCATTTAATTGAGAATTTTAAATGATTTGTTTATTTTTGCAGCGTCTTTTGTCAAGCGATTTGCCACGAGCAATTCGTTTCTTTGCCTAACACTTGCACGGCGTCACACAGTCATTACAAACAAGAGAGAGAGGGAGAGGGGAGGGGAGAAAAAAAGGAAACGGAAACCCGAGTGTGTGGGTTGTTTCTCTCAGTGTGTGTGTGTGGGTGTGTTTGCCTTTCATTTTTAATGAGTTTTTATTTTTCCCGCTTTTGTGTGTCGCTCTTTGGCCCGTCCAACTGCCTGAGTCTGTCTCCAAGCGCTTCAGCTTCAGGCGGAGTCAGAGGTACGGCATCTCCAGTTGTCAGGATACTGCCAGAGCCACATCCTCCGCTCCAGCTCAGTCGCACAAAGCGATTACTTTGGCTTGTACGAACTCGTATATGTGGCTGGTGTCATAACTGCTAACTGTCAGCAAATTTGACACTAAATACGAGAATGTGGCCGCCGCTTTAGTTCTGTCACTCTGGATTATGATAACTCCCGCCACATGTGTGTCCGTGTCCGTGTGCGTGTTGAGCTCTGCTTTTATTTAGTTTATTTATTTTTCTGCAATGTGTGACTATGAGCATTATGGCTGTTTATTTGTTTTGATAATCCACTGGCTGCGGAAACACAAGCTCATGTTGTTCCTTGCCATGGAAAAAAGTTTCGTGTGTGTTTCCCAACGTTTCGCTAATTGACAATGAATTATTTAATAGAGGTTCTTGCAGCGAGTAATTATATCACATGGATGGATCCTAGTGTTACCAAATAGTTGAATGTTAGTTTATTCTTGGCCAAATGAATTTGACCTTTAAATAAAAATAAATTTAGTACGCGAGACATCGTTTATGTTTGCTGTGGAATTACGCATTTTATTTGCTCTGGCAGCTCCCATTTGAGAGACTCTCCAGACTATAAATCAATGTGAAAGTGTCGAAAGACGGCAAACATTAACATTAATTAGACTCGGACAGATATTTTCATCTAAGTGGAGGCTGAGCAACTTTTATTCGAATCTTAAGTGAATCTTGAAGTGTTTGACGGGCACTCTGGTTGTTTCAACTTTAAGTAGCGTAGAACAACATCCGACAAGGTTAGCTTTTCTTTCATAGATACCTAGAACTTTCGAGAGGAAAGTGGATTTCCCGAGAATGTCTTAAAATATAAGATGAAAGTGGTGGAAATTTCGCTGCTCATCTGCCAGCTCCTACAGCTCGCTGATAATAAGCCAATGAGAGAATCTCCCAGTGGACAGGGCACAGCAAAGCATTAGCAGGGCAGGCAGGCATAAAGTTCATCCACAACCATTGGCAACAGTTGCTAGCAGGGTAATCAATCTTGCGCAGGAAAATCCCCAAAAGAGGCTACTTGCAGGCTGCTTCTGCTACTGCTACGGCTGGCCAATGGCCTGGATACTCCAGAAGTCCTTAGCCCGGCATGCACCTTGAGCACACTAGTGGACGGATGGAGGAGGTGTTTTGTTTTTTTCGCCGTGTATGTTTTGTGCGGCGTGAAAGGCTTTAAGTGGGAAACGCCACAACAAACAGCAACAGCAGAAGGCAAAAGAAATAGCAGTGGCAACAGCAGCAGCAACAATTCAAAGACTGGCACCCATGGTCATGCCTTCATGTGTTTCAGAGGCAGTCGAGCGCAAATGCATTGCCACCCACACCCCCCCCCGACTATGTACATGGCTGAGGTTAAACGTTGCTGCATCCGCTGCTGCCACGCCCTTATCCGGTGAGAGGGAGGGTGGCAGAGGCGTGGCAGGCGTTAAGCAATATAATTTTTCTTGCTTTGAGTCGGAGCTGTTGAATCGTTTTAATGCTCGTCACCTACGATGTTTGCTTTCCTTTTATTCTCGGCCCTCGCTTGCAGGAGCCGCTGTGCATGCGAACTCTGATGCATACCCCCGTAACCGCACCCCTACCCCCGCCCATACACGTACTGGTGGGGCGGATGTGTTTGCGTTTAGCGCCGGTTGACAGCCTGGCAATTTATATGCCCGACTTCCTGCCCCAACGGGAGTTTAAAGGCAGCACACAAGGTGCATGGCGACTTTAAGCACAACAACACGTCCCACGTCCCCAACCCACACCCCAAGCAATTTCCTGTTGCCAGCACCCACTTCAAGTTCTCTCTCTCTCTCTCTCTCTCTCGTTCCCGATGCCCAAACAATGGATCCATTTGCACTCGCCCAGACTGAAGTGCAACTCTTTGGTTACGGCCAACAATGGCTTAGGCCGCAAGTCAAAGAGCATCCGTCGCGGACTCCATACTCGTAAATGGCTGTGGCTACAGCTATGGCTATGGCTATGGCTATGGCTATGGCTGTAGTCCCGCACAAAAGCGGCCACTGGAACAATGTACCAGCTACCCAGAACCGGACAGAAATGTAACTGGGAACTGGGAACTGGGAACAGGGAACTGGGGACTATTACTGCGACTGAGACTGGGCGGAAATCCAAAGGCGACGAGCCACCTAATAACATTTTGCCATGCCTGCCACCCACCATCCATCCCCTCCCCCTTTACAGGGTGTTCCTCATTTCGCGTGTCCTTACAAATGTTTGGCCACCTTTTATATTACATCAATTCTGGCACAACAATTGTCTGCCGGGGCCACAGCAACAAGAAAAATGAGGCAAAGCAACAAAAAGTAATGGGCGCGCATATTTTTTTTTTTCCTCTCCCATGGCAACTTTCTATTGTTTGCCGTTGCAACGCTCCCAACGGGGATCAAGAGGTGGCAGATACCAGTACCTATACATAAATATATTGTATGTATATGTGCCCTGGCAGTACATATAGAAAGGTAGCATGAGATAGAAAGGCAGCGGGCCGGCTAACGGTTCAGCGATGCTGCATTGTCACATTGACAGAGCTTTGGGCTGGGGGCTGCCGCTTTATCATTGTTCTTGTTCTCGTTCTTGTCCCTTCTGGCGTTTTGGAGTGCCTTTGTGCAGTTGCGCTGCCTCTGATGCCACTGTCACCGTTTCTCCATGTATTTCTCTTCTCTGTGTAGCGAGGGGATCTTGTTGTTATTATGAATAAAGTTGACTTGAGTGGATTGCGAGGACTTTGGCCATGGCTATAACATCGCTCGACCGTCTAACTCTAACATCTAAATTTAATTAGTACAAGAGCTGCCACCCGGCTCAGCGGAACTCTTTAAACTCTGGCTGAATGTTGTGGTTGATGGCGGGTAAAGGTGATAAATGAGTAAGTCATTTGCCACGGAAGCGGTGGGTGCGAGATGGAATTGTAGGATAAATTGCAGCAAAGATTATGTCACATAGAACGTTGATTGAAATTGCTAAACAAATCCTTAAAGCTGCTGAAATTCCTGGTTAAAGCAATGCCCAAAATATATAAGAGATAAATAAATACTCGTAAAAGCAACAAAGAAACACACAGCTCGTGAAATATTCCAATAGATTTTATTCGTTTTTGCAAACCGAATTCCCTTGCTTTGTAAGCGCCCGCCCTATCACAGTCAAAGCTCTATTTCTCTCTCTTTCCGATTGGCTTTTTGACTCTCGTTCGTTGCATACAAATATTTTCACAGATTAAAATTTAATAGACGACCCTACCCGCCGGGGAGTCCGTACCCACGCCGGCAGCCAATTCCTGCCCGAAGTTCGAGTGGCAATGCCAACCTTATGCAACATTCGAGCTTATCTCTGGGCAATGCATAATTCAATAGCTTGCGGATCCCAGCAGCAAGACCCCAAAGCACACTAACGATACAAAGAAAGGGAGGAAAAGGGATAGCAAAGAAGAAAAAACCATCGAAGTTGTGCAATTTTTATTGGCGCTGCAAAAGCCACTGCAACTCAATTTGCTTAAACTAAGCAAAACACACACAAATACGGAGCGGAAACCGAAAGCTGCGAATCATTCAGCGAAATTACCTCGTTATCTTGGGCCACAGACCGCTTTTGCCGGTTTTTTTCCAGCTCCAAATGAATTGGAGTCCTTAGTCCTTAGTCCTTAGTCTTTAGGAGGCTGCAAGCTGCATGCAGGCAAGATCTTTGGCCAGCCAGCACTAACATACATTGAGTTGTCTGGCATAAAATTGTGATTTTGTTATTTTTGGCACTCAGCCAGGGAGTCTCTCATCCACACACACACACACACACACACACACACACACACACGACCTAACACATATGGCTGGCAGCTTACATATGCTGGACGAAAAAAAACGGCTGCAGCTGAGGCTGCATTCAACAATTGCCAAAAAGGTGGCCAGCAAGAAAAAAAAAACCAACCAGAAAGAGTGGGTGGGTGGAAATGGAGAAAAAAGGAGCGGATACAGAGCAGAAAGGAGCATCGCGACCATAAATTATACGCAGTGCATAGACGGTAAATTTTTATGGACTGTGACTAGGATACGATTTTCCATTCTCCTCTCTCCACACTGCCGACTCCCCTCCTTTCGATTCGTTTTTTTCCTGCTTCGCTCGTTTCTTTTTTTCTTTTTTTGCTTTCTGGCTATTGTTGCCGCAATTTTATCACACTTTGATAATCGCGTGGCACATGCTTCACGGCACGTCAGCGTTGACAGCACGGTGGCCATTCGATTCAATTTGCCGCCTGGCAGCGCTGTGCGCTCCATAAAGTTTTACAAAAAGTCACCGTTGTAGTAGTCCGTTGCTGGTCCTCTGTCGGTTGCCGCTACATTTGCATTTTTCCCACGACTGCCTGGTAAATTGGAATTTCCAAGGAGTTTTTTTCAGTTTTTTTCGGTTTTTTTTTCGGGGTTCACTTTGCAACCTTTTTCACACTTTTCCATTAGCCTTTACTTTTGCAGGCCACGGCCGGCCTGCTTAGCGCTCAAATTATTTCACCTTTTATTCAATTTAATTTATCCACTTGCCAGGGGGTACCCTTTCAGTGTGTGTTTGTGTGTTGTGTATGCAGCCAGCTTCCGTTTCCGCTTCCGTACACGTCAAGGGGCGAGCGTCCGAGGTACACACAAAGCGTTTCGGGGCCAGCGAAAATCCACTTTTGTTACATTTTTTATGAACACATTCGTGCGGACAAATAACCCGTAAAGTCAGTAAAATCCACGATAAAACCAAACACCACACACACACACTCACAAAGGACCCTAGCACACACACTCTAGCACACATGTGCAAGCGAGAGAGCAAACAAAAATGTCAGCAAACAAAATTGTGCTGCATAGTTTTAGGCAGCAACAAAATCACACAGCCCAGCGGACCCACACACGTGTACATTTATCCCTTTATGCCCAGACACAAACACACACAGACCACACACACATCACACACACACACACACACACACACACATGTGCACACTGGCCACTATCACCGATGGCGCTCTATGTAGTCTCTAGTCACTCCCCGAGGCGGCAGCGGTAACGGCAGCATCCATTAATGCTTTTTCCATTAAATCCCCAAATAGTGCCCAACGCACACACATACAACTATCGCATGTGCGTGTATGTATGCGTGTGTTGAAGGATATGCTTGACTACTACTAAAACACTGTGATTCGGCCATTACCACTCGCAACAATTTCCGATTTCGTCCGATGGACACGTCCAAACAGTTCGAAACGCCGGCAATGACTGAATCCTGCAATCGTTCTTTGCTGCCTGCTGGCTGGCTGCTGCCTGCGTTTGCTGCCAGTAACCTCTGCCTGTATCATCCTCGACGGCGGCGTCTGTCGTTGGGGCTTATCTCTGTCAGCGTAATCGCTTGACACCCGCTCCCCACCCCCAGTCCACGGCTGTAACTGTAACTGTTGCCACACGTGGCCCCCAATCGAACGGCGCCAACTGCTCTGCCAGCGCCGCAGCCAACGCAGCGCCGACGCAGGCTTTTCGTTATTCTCTTCCTTTTCTTGGCGCTCTCTTTGCTATCTGTCTGGCACGCAACAACAACACCAGAAGAGAGCATGCTGCTGCATAGAGTGAGAGAATCAGACTCAGTCTCAGACAAATTGAGAAGGCTAGAGAGAGAGGCAGAAGGACAGAGCAGGTGTACACTTGTTGTTGACATACTCCTGTCTCATATTTTGAAATATAAATTTTGGAACTAAATTAAACAGCAAAAATAGGCATTGCACACCCAAAACTTGTTGCAAGAAATCTTCTTTAATTTAGATGAAATTAAGTATGGAGAAGTTAAAGAATGTTTGGACATTAAAGAACTGTACATAAAAGCAATAAAAAGCCTTCGACTTTAGCTGAGAAATTAAATTTAAAGTTTAAAACAAAAAACTTCACTTAAAGCTGTATGGGTAAGACCCTACAAAACTCTTTGGTCTCTTGATAAAAACAATCAAATGTTTGCTTTTATTTGCCAGCACATATTTATTTTATTTTAATATTTATTCAAACACGCACCATTCAAATCCATACATTGTGATTTCGATCAAATATTCAAATATCATCCGTCAATAACCACAAAATTCAATACCTTTTGCTCTAACTTCCTGTCTGTATTTGTATTTACACTTTTTCTTTTATTTTTTGCCATTTCCATGCAGAGTTAAGCTGCGGCTCTGACTCCATGGGCACTTCATCACCTCTGCGGTGACATCTGACATCATAAATCACACGGACTGTCCACTGCACCAATGCCACTTTGGCGCCAAAAGTTATGCTACATAAAGCACGACAGCCAACCACGAGTCTGGTGGCGTTCCCTCTCTCCCACTCTCCGCCAGGGTACACCGTTTTTTATCAACAACAGCAGCAGCAGCAGCAGTCGCTTACTACGCGACTTTTAGCGTAAACTGTCATTCAGCTTTTCGCTCGCACATTTTGTTGTTGCTTATTTATTTGTTTACCCTTCATGTTCAACACCCAACCACCACCACCCACTCTTCAATAAATTGCTCGAGCACGTGTTGCTTCCGCTGCTGCTGCTTCGTTTCGCTCTCTGGTGTCAACAAACGCAGGGCGCAGGCGCGCTCTTCCGTCGACTGCGACAGAGTACTGGCAGAGCATTTGAAAGTTTTCAAAAAAATACTTGACCTAGGGCAAAGCGAAAGGCAGCGAGCGGGCGAGCATGTTGCACGCATTGAATCCCACTTGAGCGAACAGGCACACACATGCCACGCATACGCGGTGATATGTGCGACTGTGTGGCTGTGTGGTTGAGAGCTACAGCTGTCAAAGCGCATTATCATTTTCATATATCATGCCAAATACGAAAGGTTATGCCCATTTTGTGCGGTCTTGTGTCGAGCGGGTGGGTAAAGGTGAAAGCTATTATGATGTTGCTGCCCTCAGGCAATATGATGAATCCACTCAATTTCCAGCACTTACCGCAGGCGGGAGTGGAACGGCCCAGGCACGGCTCCCACTTGGGCCGATAAATCATCACCGGGCGTCAAATTAAGTTGCATAACTCGATTGCCAGGCAAACATATTTGCTTTGTCATTAATATTTCCATACAGGAATGGTATGCTCTTTGCTCCTTGCTCTCCCGCTGCTGACGCTTCTGTGTTGCTGCTAAGCTGCTTGGATATTGCGTTTACGCACTGTGTGATTCACTGGGGAAAATGCTTTGTAATTATATTTAAAAGCATTTCATGCAGCACAGCTTAAGTGAATTATTAGCAGGCACACACAAACAAACAAGCAGCCAGGAGAGCAGCTCGGTACGCCTGAATACTGGGGTGCTATGCTTAAACAAATGACTTTGGCCATTTATGTGCTGCTCTTAAATTGCAAAATTGTTATAATTTGGCGGGGCAACAGGACCAAGCACCCACAGCCAAGGACCCGGGCTTACTATTGAAGATGTTTTGCTGCTGCTTCTGCTCCTCCTCTGACTGGGTCCTGTTGCTTTTTGCTTGGCCTTTCCCCCATGTGTGTGTGTGTGGCATGCTGTTTTTTGCGCCTGCTCGTGTCGGAAATTGTTTGGTGTGAACTTGGGCCCAAGCAAATGGCATAATTTACGTAGTCCGCTTATCTTGGCATTTAATTTTAGATTTACGGCTTTAATGGCCATCCGGCAGTGCCTCTTCGTGCCAGCTCTCCTTTGGCTTAGACAAAAGTATAACCCGAGTTGGCGTGCCTGAATTTTATGACCAGAAAGGGACTATTTATGATCCAGTTGTAGTCATTCGTGGGCTCCAGAAACATGATATAAATAAATGTATCAGAAGTAACACATTCATAAGAAACCCATCCATTAATCTTTGGTGCCCCTTTCGCCATTAAATACACAGACGAACCTCCGGAGGCTTCACCCATCAAAACTTGCCAAAGTGTAATGATAATTAAGTTTATAACTCTCAAATAGTTCCCATAACCTACAGTCACGAAACTTTTCCAAACTCATTTCAAGTTCATCAAGCTTTCGCACCTTTCATTTTCATTTTCAATTTCCAGCCCACTCCTAGACCAGGACAGGACACACAGGCAGGCACCCACCCAAGCCCAGATACGTCATAATTTGTGCTTAAAGTGTCATTAAAATATAATTACGCCACAACAATAAAAAGCTCCCAAAAATAAGCAAATTATTTAAGTTGCCATGGCTGACACAATGCTAATACAAGCTCCGCCTCTTGGGTGATTATCCTCCGCTCCTCTCTCTGGGGCCGAGAGCCATGGATACCCTGAACTTTCTCTAGCCGCAACAACTGCAACAACAATAACTATAAGAGCAGCAGCAGCCGGAACAGCAGAGGAGCACAGCAGGCGGAGGAAAAAGTGTTTGGCAGTACACGAAAAGTTTTCACAGAGGTTGCAAGGGTGTGAGAGAGGAGCCCTGGGTGGCAGGTCTGCAATGCTTGTTGAGTGGTGCAGACCGCAACACTCTGGCCCCCAAAGAGGGCGACGGTGATGGTGCCGATGATGATGCCAGTCCCCGGTCTCTGGCCTGCCGGTGCCGGTGCTGCTGGTGCCAACAAAAAGCCATAACAAGACCGCATCATTATCATGAAGGCAAGAAATAGAGCAACGGTGCCAGCAGCCAGCAGCCAGCAGGAGCCAACAGCCAACTGCCAGATGAAGAACGAATCGGAAGCGTGGTGCTGCTGTGGCAAACCCTGGGCAGCAATTTT